TTGAATCAATGCGATAGCACGCGTGTGATTTGGTGCGTAACTATGGCCGTGCATTATAGCTAACCTGAACTGGGTGATAGTTTAATTTTCCTGTGTGTTTGAAGGCTGTAAAAACCATAGGGATCATGCTTACTTTTTTCGTGTACGCAGATATCTTTTCTCGATCTCTCTTATGAGAACACAACTGTTAGCAGCGACACAAAGGTCGATGCCTCATACTTCCAGTAAATGTAATAGATGTGAATAAATAAAACATATCTTGAGCGATGGAACCAGCTCGTGAACACTGAAGACCGACCTATATTTGATTTTGGCGCCAACTAAAGCTGGCTTGACACTGCGAGCCTCACGCTTCACACCTATCTGCACTCGTTATACATACACTAAACACCTTATGTACACGCTAGAGCTGTTTTTGAAAGGCGAGTAAACTTGGACAGTCCTTCAGGATATTGAAGCTGTTTTAGCATAGGACTTAAGAAAAAGAAGTTTTGTACGTCCTTAATTTCGAATGACCATTCCTCATAGTGAATCTGATCCGCCTGAGTATGGTATAATTTCAAAAGTTTGAGGAAGAAGTTCCATTGAAATTCTGCACGTGCTTTATATATATACGGTATTTCTTTCTCTATTGGAAGTGCCTCGAAATTATTTGTGCATACGAGCCTACATTACCACCCGGGTTCACGTAAGAACGTAAAAGGCACAGGAGCGCGCGGGCTGGATTCTAGGCAACGGCAGTCGCACTCGAGTACTAAGATAAGTTGTAGTAGTAGTAAGTAGTAAGTATAGGCACCCGGCAACGCAGTTTACGAGATCTCATGGTAGCGCCAGAACACACTGCAAAACCGGACTTGCCCGTCTATATTATTTTCTTTCTTAATTGTTAGCAGTGGGGGTCACGGCTGATTATGTAAGCCGCCAGGAAGCGTCCTTTGAAAACGCGCCAAAAAGGGCATTGCCCCGCCACGGTGGTCTAGTGGCTAAGGTACTCGGCTGCTGACCCGCAGGTCACGGGATCAAATCCTGGCTGTGGCGGCTGCATTTCCGATGGAGGCAGAAATGTTGTAGGCCCGTGTACTCATATTTGGGTGCACGTTAAAGAACCCCAGGTGGTCGAAATTTCCGGAGCCCTACACTACGGCGTCTCTCATAATCAAATAGTGGTTTTGGGACGTTAAACCCCACAAATCAATCATCAATCAGGTGATTGACAGTTTATATCCACGCAGGAACGGTGAGAGCAGACTTGAATAATTTTAAAACGTCAGCGTTGGGAAAAAGCTGACATCGACAGCAGTTACCCGACAAATGCAAATAATAAATGCCAAGGTCTCAGCAGGAATCAATTGAGCCCCCGCTATTCTACCACAGAGCTATGCCAGGTCTCAGAACTGTGGTCTTCAATGACACGCCAATGTTCGTGAAACGTGAATCAGGGCTGCAGGGCAGGCTATTGAATTTTATAAACATTTCATATGTACTCCTAAGATACAGCCGTCACGTCAGTTTAATGTCAATAGTAATAGGCGCCATCCACTGAAGTCGATCAGTGTCCAGGGCTACCAATACCCGATACAGCACTTTATATCTGTGTACGGCCTGTAGTTTTGCTAATATTCATGTTCCTATTGGCATCATTACGCAACTGTGAAGGACTGGTTATCTAAAATGTATACCGCTGTTGGACGTTTGTCTGTGCGTGCACCGGCAGTGAATTTCTTTAGCACCACTTCGTAACATTTCGCTCAATGAAAAAACTACAACACACTCTTATTCCATGCGCATTCTTCGCATAACATGGATTTCCAGGGTGCGGGGCATTTGGTGTAATCTGTTGTCAAGAAAGTGCTGCATGAAGAGATTCACCAAGTTTCACTATGACCACTTTCGTCACGGAAGTTACGTGGGGTCTCCAAATATTTTACATTTATGGTATGTAACCAGTGACGTAGGTAGGAAGTAGCTCACCAGGCCCGTGCCCCCCCCCCCCCTCCCCGTTGAAAGTGTTGCCGCACTTGTTATACAGAGCACAAAATGACCCTCAAGCACGCTTACTTGCCCGGACTATATTTCGAATTAAATCGGGTGCCCCCCTCCTCCCCGAAACAAAACCCTGCCTAAGCCACTGTTTGTACCCTAGAGAGAGTTAGTGGTCATGTGTGTTTAGAAAATGTCGTTAACGATTTAGAGTATTAAGTACTCTACTATGGAAGAGCATATAAGCGTCCCATGGGCGTACATACTTCACGCAGTATAGTGAACATGTTCTCTGCACTGCTTGTATCAATGAAACATGCACTGCAGTTGCGCTGTACCTATATTCAGTTATTTCCTACCAACTTGTCCAGGTTTCCACGCTTCATTACTGCAATAAAACATGCAATCATTGAGCTAGCACTAAGAGGGAAAGTACAGGAATTCAGTCTTGCTTCAGAACAGGTACTCGGCTCTTATAAAGGAAACCATTCTTAGCGTTGACGCGATGAATGATAATCTGACTAGTATCATTACGTAGTGTGCAGAGGAAGTTGGAGGTACGGTAGTTGGACAGGGCACTGGCAAGCTGTCCCAGAAAATGAAGAACCTCATTAAGGGGCGTCAAAGCATGAAAGCCTCAAGTACAATAGACACAATAGAGTTGACAGAGCTTTCGAAGTTGATTAATAGGCCTAAGGTATCCGACATAAGAAGGTATAACATGGAGAGAATTGAACACGCTCTGAAAAACGGAGGTAGCGTCAAAGCAGTGAAGAGAAAACTTGGGATAGGCAAAAATCGGATGTATGCACTAAGGGACAAAGAAGGCAAAATAACTACCAATATGGATAGGATAGTTAAAATAGCGGAGGAGTTTTACAGAGATCTGTACAGTAGCCGGGACAACCACGACTTTAATACTACAAGAACTAGCAGTAACCCAGATGACACCCCACCAGTAATGATAGAAGAAGTCAGAAAAGCTTTGGAGAGCATCCAAAGAGGCTAAGCCGGTGGTGGGGATCAGGTAAAATCAGATCTGCTGATAAATGGAGAACAGATTGTGTTAGGAAAAACTAGCTACTATGTTTGCAAGGTTTCTCCTGACGGGAAGAGTACCAGAGTCTTGGAAGAACGCTAACATCATCTTAATACATAAGAAAGGAGATGGCAAGGACTTGAAGAATTACAGGCCGATTAGCTTGCTCTCTGTAGTATACAAGCTATTTACAAAGGTAATTGCTAACAGAGTAAAGAAAACATCAGAATTCAATCAACCAAAGGAACAAGCAGGATTTCGAACAGGCTACTCAACAATCGACCACATTCATACTATCAATCAGGTAATAGAGAAATGCTCAGAATATAACCAACCGCTATACATAGCCTTCATAGATTACGAGAAGGCGTTTGATTCAGTATAAATATCAGCCGTCATACAGACACTGCGGAATCGAGGCGTTGACGAAACATATATAAACATCCTGAAAGAAATCAACAGAGGTCAACTGCCACCATAGGGCTCCATAAAGAAAGCAACGGAATAACAATCAAGAAAGGTGTAAGGCAGGGGGATACAACCTCCCCAATGCTACATGCCACGTGCTTACAGTAGGTTTTCTGAGGCCTAGAATGGGAAGAATTGGGGATAAGTATTTATGGAGAGTACCTTAATAATCTGCTCTTCGCCGATGACATCGCATTGCTGAGTAACTCAAGAAATCCATGATTGTAGAGTTAGACAAGGAGAGCAGAAAGGTAGGTCTTAAAATTAATCTGCAGAAAACGAAAGTAATGTACAGCAACTTCGGAAGAGAACAGCGCTTCAAGATAGGTAATAGTGCACTAAAAATTGTAAAAGACTGTCTACTTGGGACAAGTAATAACCATGGAGCCGAACCACGATATCGAAGCGACTAGAAGAATAAGGATGGGGTGTCACCTTTGGCAAGCACTCTCAAGTCTTGACAGGTAGATTGCCACTATCTCTCAAGAGGAAGGTATATAACAGCTGTATCTTGCCGGTACTTAGCTACGGAGCAGAAACCTGGAGACTTACAAAGAGGGTTTAGCTTAAATTGAGGACGACGCAGCGAGCAATAGAAAGAAAAATGGTAGGGGTAACCTTAAGAGACAAGAAGAGAGCAGAGTGGATCAGGGAATAAACCTGGGTTAAGGATATCACAGTTGAAATCAAGAAGGGGAAATGGATATAGGCCGAGTATATAGCGAGTAGACAAGATAACCACTTGTCATTAAGGGTAACTAACTGGATTCCCTGAGAAGGCAAGCGGCTTAGGGGGAGACAAAGTTAGGTGGGCATATGAGATTTAGAAGTTGGTGGGTATAAAATGGCAGCAGAAGCACAGGATCGAATTGATTGGTGGAACATAGGAAAGGCCTTTGTCGTGCAGTGGACGTAGTCAGGCTGATGATGATGATGAATAAAACATGCGCAGAGGATCATGATGTTCAGACACTAATCGCACAACCACCGGTACTGCCGAAAAACACGTTGTAGCGTCGATGTGTGCCAAGAGCTCCCAAGAATAACCGATCACTTTACTTTCATATGCGTTGACATAATCATACAAGGGTTTTAGTATTCCCTCAAAAATATGTAGTAGTCGTACTAGTATTGATACCTGCGGGCCAGATTGGGTACTATTGAGCCGTATCTCATCTGTCAAGCAATGTTTATCCCAGCGTCACGTTAAGGTACGTTTTATTACGCAGTGATTTCTTGCTCTCGAACGCCGAGTACGAATGCGACTATTTTTTGGAAAAGTACAGGTGTTCGCAGTTGCAGCGTTTGTTGCATAGCAGCATCGAATCGTCCCGAGGTACGTTTGGAGCTGCTTCTGCGTTGTAAACTCGCCTACAAACTTCCTCAGAAGCGGTAAAGAAACGTCAGAACAAATCACTCTCTCGCCGCTAAAACATGGTAATGACTTTGCCTCTTTCGGAACTATTCCCATTCCTTTAAAACCCTTATATCAGGTGAGATCCCCGTTACTCACTCCACATCGAGCTGAAGAACAAGACGAGTTTTAAATCCATCCTGAGCTTCTCTCGCAGGCGTTTGCTCAGTGAAGAAACGTTGGGTAGCACCAGGAGTTCCGCTGCACTCTTTTCTGGACAGCCTTGACAATCGCACAAAACAGGGCACTTCAACGAAGAAGTGTTTGTTTCCTCTCCGGTTAACACTTGCCGATCACCGGGCTTCAATCGCGAACGCGCACAGGCAGGCACTCGCGTAACTCGGCCGCACAACGGGGCAACCGACAAAAACAATCCGCCAGTGGTGGCAGCCGCGGCAAGGCGGTGCGACAGGTAAGCGCTCGCCCCGACGCTTCGAACGACGACCGCCGTTGTGGACGACCACCTGTGGATTTGCCGAGTTCGGATCGGCCGAGCGCACCTCCACAAACTTCCGCGCGCCGCCTTCCTTTCCCCGCTGCTCACTGAGCAACGCGCGTCTGCGATGTGGAACGGTGGACTGACGTTGTCCGGAGACACGTGCAGCCGCGCCGTGAATGCCCTCCAACGCCAGAAGACCTGCCTGCGCGCACCAGCAGCGCTCACGGGGGCCCACAATCACGCGAAGTTCCCTCGCCTCCTACCCTTCCCTGAAATCTCCTCACTCTCTCTCCCAAGTCCGCGACGCCATTTCCGCGCGTTTGAGCGCCATTTTCGTTTGTGTTTAGCGTACGCCGAGTCACGTGACGGAACAGGCCTCGCTCGCTTGACTCGCTCGCACCCGTGAACCGTGCTCGCATGCCTCACGGTAGGGTTGGCGCGTGATGTAGCTGCAACGGGTGCACGATTCGTGAAGTTCGCCTAACCGCTCTCGCCTCTAAAAAAAAACATTTTTTTTCCGGCCTCGGTTCCTTCTTTTGCTGTCTCCTACACTTGGTATATTCATATGGCGTGTCTGCTTTTTTGTGTGTGTCTTACCCGGCAAGTCTCATTTTCCGTCACCCCAAGGAATGGCGGCAGATTTCTTCCGTAGCTCGCATTTCGTCCAATTCAAGCGTTCCTCTCGCTCCTCCGTCTGCGCTAAGGAGTACTAAGAAGTAACCGAGAAGTGTCGCGTCGAGCTGTCTGGCCTCTGAACCGGAAAGTTTGCTTCTCCGTTAGATAGTTTCGGGCTTCTGACCGCACCTTTCTTATCGCGTACATGGCTGAAGTTTATTTGTGGATATGCATGTGTGCCCGAATTTCGAACTGGGCTAAGCCACGTGTAGTTTCCGAATTCCTGCCAGGATTTGCCGTAGCCCGTTAAGGATATAGGTTTGTTTCCTTTCCTACTGTCCCACATTTTATTACGTTCTATTGTGCTCTTGTGCCTTCGCATTCTTTTCCTCGTGCACAAGCTTTAGGAGGCACGTCACCTCCACGGTTAAGAAGCAAAGTCCAATCAAAGAAGCTAAGTCCAACCACATAGTATAGGCATGCATAGCTAAATATACTACGAAGCAAGCATGCGTTGTTTGGAGCGGCAGTGTAGCTACCCGGAAACGCAGATGGCTCATCGGCCACTCCGGTAAAAAATGTATATATAAGAACACCGCGGGAAAATATTCAGACACCGCAACCGAGCCGTCCGTGAACTTGCCGGCTCGCCCCGTTCTCACGCTAGATACGTTCAGCGCTTTCATAAAACAGTTGTGCGCGGGAAAATAGGTTCTGGGAGGCAGCTTACTGGCTCACGGCTGCTGTAATTCACGAGTCTGGCTTAGGCATACCTACATTGTGGCGGCGCTTTTGTAAAAATGAGCCTTGCTGTGAAATTTCGAAGAATTGACGAGATTCTGTGAACAGTAGACCAAATAGGTCGGGTACAAATATGATGGGAATAGACCACAGACACATTCAGGTTCGAAATTTGTTCTTGGTCTCTATTAAGTTCGATTCTGGTGACAGACAGACGGACATACAGACAGACGGACAGACGGACGGACGGACGGACGGACGGACAGACGGACAGACGGACAGACGGACAGACGGAGAGACGGACAGACGGACAGACAGACAGACAGACAGACAGACAGACGGACGGACGGACGGACGGACAGACACAGACAGACACGGACAGACACGGACGGACGGACGGACGGACGGACAGACACAGACGGACGGACGGACGGACGGACGGACGGACAGACACAGACAGACGGACGGACGGACGGACGGACGGACAGACACAGACAGACGGACGGACGGACAGACACAGACAGACGGACGGACGGACAGACACAGACAGACGGACGGACGGACGGGCGGACAGGGCAGACGGACGGACGGACGGGCGGACAGGGCAGACGGACGGACGGACGGGCGGACAGGGCAGACGGACGGACGGACGGGCGGACAGGGCAGACGGACGGACGGACGGGCGGACAGGGCAGACGGACGGACAGACGGGCGGACAGGGCAGACAGAAAGTGGATCTTCGGTGACATAAAATATTTATATAACATTATAATGCTGAATCAACACAAGTCATGTTTAGATGTTTAAATGTGCAAACACTTGTGCTGGAGTTTGTAGACACACACAGAACTTGCCCGTAAAGCACGGCAACGGGTAATGTAACACGACGATGGCCCAAAACTTGCGTAGATTGGAAGTGTACAAAGAAAATAACGAATGTAACTTTGAACACATTCTCTGGTTGTGCCCATTGTTATTGGCCTTATCACTTTAAACGAAGGACTTCTGAGAATCCACCCTCAATAGCCCCGGAAATCTACAACTTTACGCCATGCAGAAGGCCCTATGATGTTGCGGTCGCTGTTGGCTTGCCACTATCATCATGGGTGCCTGCTCGTCCCATAACAGGGCCTCCTTGGGTCAAGCTCTTCGGTACCTCAATAAAGTTCTTATTATTCGATGTCACAAAGAAAACGTAGACAGAGCCGTGCATGCGCGTATAGTTTTGTTCGTGTATATATGGTCATATATATGAAAAAAAAAAATGCCAGGCCTGCGGGGAAAGCGCACCACAGTCACAGCAAAAGCTAGAAGAGCGGCCTTTCAGAGCCTTTTTCTAAACAGTCTTCGCGCAACTGCTGCAAGCACACTTGCTTGATACCCACTACGGTAATAATAATGAAAATTTTAGGGTAGTAGGCCGCCACTAGTTATGCTATTTTCGTTGTTTTTCCGAGAATCAAGGTACCCGCTAAACACTTCCAAATAATTTTGTGCCAAATTATGATGATGATGATGATGATGATGATGAGCATTTAGCTTTGCTGGCACTCGCCCACAAAGGGGGATCGGCCAAGAACCGGGCGGCAGGATTGTCAAGTGAGTAAGTTATGAGTCAGGCATTCAGGTAAAGTCTCGTAGCCAGAAATAATAATAATAGACTAACAAGGAAATCTTTCTGTTGCCATTGTGTACGCACACACGGCAGAGCAAACCTCCATGTGGCTATAACATCATGTTGTCCGCCGCCAATTGTTCATGCAGTGGCTGACGATGATGAGGAATTATGCCTGATGTGGGTATGCGCCGCAGTTAATAGCCGAACAAGAACAAGCTTTTGTAATGGGTTGGAGCATTGAACGGCCCACTCGTTACGCTATTCGCATTGTGCGTCGACTGGTTGTTCTTTCGCTGTTTTAAAACGCGTTGATTGATTGATATGTGGGGTTTAACGTCCCAAAACCACCATATGATTATGAACGATGCCGTAGTGGAGGGATTCGGTAATTTCGACCACCTGTGGTTCTTTAACGTGCACCCGAATCTGAGCACACGGGCCTACATTTCCGCCTCCATCGGAAATGCAGCCACCGCAGCCGAGATTCGATCCCATGACCTGCTGGTCAGCAGCCGAGTACCTTAGCCACTAGACCACCGCGGTGGGGCATTAAAAGGCGTTATAAGTCGTATTAACGCGATTGCATTTTCGACAACTGTGGCGGCGGGCAACTGCGCATGACCCGAGTTGTGATCTCATAACAGCTTTCGCTGCAAAAAAATGAATTGGGAGGTGTTTCAGCGATTAGTGTCATGTACTTCAGAAGCTCAACATGAAAAGTGACACCAGGAACTGAGTTCAACATAACCATGTGCACGGACCCATTGCTAGACCACCTTGGTCGGTTCCCTTCACTGAATATCTCCGGATATCATCTCTCTACCTTACCATTGTCAATCATCACTCTTTCACTCCCCAGTCACCCTTCCCCAGTGTTGAGTAGCAGGCCAGAGCAAACTATAGCTCAGGCCGACCTCTCTACCTTTCTGTAAATAAATTCTCTCTCGTGAATTTTAAATTCACGAAGGGACTGATATTGGCATTGCTGCACCGGCGCACACTGAGATTTGTGAAATCGGTCGACGACTTTGCCCTGCCTTCATTTCCGTCATAGCCATGACCTTTATATCCGTGGTACGTCAGCTCACAGTATTATAAAACTATGAAACTCACGCGCAGGCTCCACACCCAGGACGTTTCCGAAAACGTCTTCGATAACCTTCAAATAACAGGTAAAATAAATATTGGCTGGTAGATTTTGCTCTTTTGATGTAGCTAGTGGCGGTTGTCCTAAGGTTACTACAAAGAGCTGTTGTGACATGCAAACAAAATAAATTATCCAACTCTTCATTGTTAGAGGCAAGGCGTTTGGGTAAAACGGGAGAATCAAAGCCCTTCCAGCGAAGAGTCGATCAGTGTTTCGAAATTGCGAAAAAAAATATAAAGGGGCACCTGGTAATTTTTGAAAACAATGAATTTCAAAAAATATCAACAGCAAAAGAGAACCTAAAACGATGATGACCACAACCGTTGTGCGACCAGAATGACGTCACATGTTTACGAAGATGATGGCAGTGCGGTGTGTTCTGCCTTTGTTAACTTGTTTATGGTTGTCATGCGGGCCATAATCGCAAGCACAGCCAGTAGGCACACGAAGCGAAGTCGATCGACGGTTGATGCACCGACTTTTACTCATTCTGCTTGGCCTCGACAGAGTGTAGTAATTGCACCCTTCTGCTTTTCCGTTTCCGTTCTACCAGCGAAATTTATCATGTCTCGTTGCTCTGATAGTGGCACTATCCACTATATGTCCCTCAAGAGGAAGGTATACAACAGCTGTAGCTTGTCGGTACTTAGCTATGGGAGCAGAAACCTGGAGACGTACAAAGAGGGTTCAGCTTAAATTCAGGATGATGCAGCGAGCAACAGAAAGGAAAATGGTAGGTGTAACCTTAAGAGACAAGAAAAGAGCAGAGTGGATCAGGGAACAAACAGGAATTAAGGATATCGCAGTTGAAATCAAGAAGAGGAAACGGGCATGATCCGGGCATGTATTACGTAGACAGGATAACCGCTGGTCATTAACGGTAACTAACTGGATTCCTAGAGAAGGCAAGCGGGTTAGGGGGGGGGGGGGGGGCAGAAGGTTCCATTCAATTTAATTCTTTGTTTGCAAACTGTGATACATACAGAAACATCACGACCGGTTGGAACCATAGCCGAAGGCTAGTTGGGGGTCCAAAAAAATAAATAACTAAGGGTTCCATGTACA